CTTAAGGAAGTGCGGTCCCCCCTGAAGGAAGTGCGGTCCCCCCTGAAGGAAGCTAGACAACCCTTGCGGGATGTGTCAAAGTCCCCATGTCAGGAAATCGGGCGCCCATGGAAGATTGTAAGGAACCCCGTGAATGAAGCTAGACCTCCTCTACTAGAAGATAGGAAAGCCAAGATGAAAAGAGCTAGATCTCCATCCATCACTTCCTCCCCTATTCCCCAGCTTGATGGGATATGTACACCATCAACACCTAACACCAATCTTCTTTCCAGGCCTAAGGTTACTAAGGAATCTGATCCTGAGTCAGCGCCTAAACCTGAACTTGATCCTGAGTCTGCGCCTGAACCTGAACCTGAACCTGAGACTGAGTCTGCGCCTGAACCAGAACCTGATTCTGAGTCTGCCCCTGAACCTGAACCTGAGGCTGAGTCTGCGCCTGAACCTGACCTGAGACTGAGTCTGCGCCTGAACCTGAACTTGAGACTGAAGCTGGTCCAGAATCTGAAACTGAACTTGAAATCGAACTAAAACCATCTGTGAACGTTGCAAACCCAGTTTTTACTTTCTGTGAAGAAAAAGATTGTACAGTTTGCCCATTTAGACACAACGCAATTAGAGCATATGAAAAAATAGACAACCAAATTAAATATCAGTTGGTGAATAACTACAGGAAGTTCTGTTGCTTCTCAGCAATGGATGACGAGGGAGTCAGCTGCGAAATATTGCACTGGCATTCAAAGTCTAATCTGTGTCTATCATAAGAATCATTTATATAGAAAATAAATAATGTAGTTTTTCCATTTATGAAAGTTGTAAACTTGTAATACAATTGTAATATCTTAATCTCTGCTACAAAATAAATATTTAGATCTAAAAAAATTTTTTAACAAAAGGACTTTTTTGTTACAGGACTTTTTAGTGCGAAATACTAGGACTTTTTTTCTGGAAACTTTTTTTCCAGGAACTTTTTTGGTGGTTACCCCCCAGGCTTAACATAGATTCAGAACCCCCAACCTGTATAGGGTTAAATGGGAGAAAAACGATATTTTAACAAATGTTTTATTCATTCAAAAGAAAACTTAATTGATATGGACATTTTTTATCTTTACCTACAAAGAAAAAAAGAATTATAGGGTTTAAGTGTATAACACAAATACATTAAAAAAAGATAAATGTTAATTTGAAGGAAATAATCTTTGTAAAATATGAATATCTCTTAGAATTACTTTAAAATCTTTTCCACAAGAAAAAAGTTTTGAGTAAAATAGATAAAACTTAAATTTTTACAGCTGAACCTATTTCAAGTACAAATTAATTGTTATTATATTAATCACTTTTAGGCCAAGGATACCAAAAAAAAATTTTGGGACAAAAAAATATTAGAAATGACGCAATTTTTTGGTATTACAAAATTAGATTTTGTAAAAGAAATAAAAAAAATGTTTGTGTCAATATTTTAGATTAAATTATATTTGTCTAAATTACTTTTTCCGAACCTTGTTAAACTGATATCGCGACGAACCTTCTTTTAGAAGACACAACTTCACTTCCCTCTTTCCCCCCATCTTTTTCCTCTCCTTCCCCCCTTTTTCCTCTCTTTCCCCCCCCCTTTCTTCCCCCTCTCTGCAAATTCAAACACTTAAAAACTCTTCCTGGGTTTTTACGCGTTTTTTGCGCTTGCTTATAATAACAAAGCATTACATAGCAATATGTTCCTATAAATCTATCCATCTATCTTCTATATGGGTATTCTTTATATATGCTGATATAGACGTTAAATTATTATAAATGGAGTCTACACTTAGCTCTTCATATTATTAGTTAATTAAACAGTGATCCTTGAACATATTAACAATCTATCTATTCAGTCTAAACTTGGAAACAATAAAACCCCAGCTATCTATCTATCCATCCTAGGAACGCACGAGCGTAACGTGCATCCCGGAAGGCTCAGTTGTATAAAGCGCTCCACATAGGGAGGAACCAGTGCTCGTTTTTAAATTTTGGACAAAGTTGGTACAAAGAGTGCATAACTTTAAAAGTTGGACTCTTTTACGAAGAGTACAGAACTTTAAAACCTTGCAATTAGAAGTACAGAACTTTAAGAGTTGGAACTTTGTTGCTAGGAGTACAGAACTTTAAGAAGTTGGAACTTCGCTTTCTGGAGTACAGAACTTTGAGGAGTTGGAACTTTGGTGCTAGGAGTACAGAACTTTAAAAAGTTGGGACTTCGCTTTCAGAAGTACAGTACTTTCAAGAGTTGGAACTTTGTAGCTAGGAGTACAGAACTTTAAGGAATTGGAACTCTCTGGAGTGCAGAACTTGAAAAAATGAAACCTGAAGTAAACAATATGAGTTTTGATATGGCTAATATAAGGGATACCCTTGAATTGGCGGAGATAAAAGCGGCGGAGTCTCGTGCAGCTATTACTAAAGCTCGTGGGGCAGTTGTTGTGAATTGTGGCAAGCAACGGCGGAAGTGTAGTACTGACCACCAATATGTTCCGCCGAAACAGCTTCTTCAGTATTTAGTCAGGTGCAGATTTATTATCTTTCCTTTTTTCACCTTTCCACCTTTCTGTCTTTCCACCTTTCCCCCTTTCTGCCTTTCCACCTTTCCACCTTTCCACCTTTCCACCTTTCCACCCTTCCACCTTTCCACCTTTCCACCTTTCCGCCTTTTCGCTTTTCTGTTTTTCTCATTTTAATCTTTATTGAATTTTTATGGAATTTTTGATCTAAATTGATCATGATTTACGCATTTAACCCTATACCAATCGGGCAAATTTTATCCAATATAGATCAACATAGGGGTGTTATCCAACCTCCCAACCCCCTCTCTATGATTTTGCAAATACAGTGGATATAGGGGAGTGTGATGCATATCCTTAATCCAACTTTTCAAAGCCTGCTCATTAATAAAAGGTCAAATATAATTATTTTACTATTGACAAATATTAATTTTAGCCCTGTAGCTTGATCAATAAAAAAGTTATTGACAATTTCTGATTTTTTTTTAAAACGGTTCCGCCATTGACTGTCCTCCAAACAAATTTAGCAAAATTTGTTCACAACTATGAAGTTGAAAAAGTGAAGAAGTTATAGTGTTCTAATGTCAGCCGTTTATAAGTTATCTAAGGGGGTTGGCGTGGTAAACACCCCCTCCGCCCAAATCGTGACAGGGTTAATTATTTTGTGGAAACTCTAAATCATGTATGTTTATGTTATTTTAAATACTCTTTTTTATTTTTTCACCGGGTAATCACTAATCAGTACAATTCTGACTTTTTTAAAATTATAGTTTTTGTTTTAGTTTTTGTTTAAATTGTTTAAACCTTCCCCCGAGGAGACACACAAACAGATATTAAGTTTAAATAATAGATCTAATTGTAAAATATTCTATATTGTATTATAAATAACGGGATTCTTCTGGAATTATCTGTCGTCTTCAAAATGTTTGAAGGGTGGGATTTGGTGGGTGGTGGGTGAGGGTGAATGTATGCACATGCAAGGGGGGAAGAGTGTGTTGGGTGGGAGGAGAGGGGGGTAAACACCGTGAAGCTGCAACATACAGTATTTACATTATACACAGTAATCTAGAAACTACAGTTGTATAAAGGTGCACTCCAAGGTGCCCTCTTGGAACCTGAATTAAATTACAAGAAATGGGAGCAAGCATTAAAAACTGGTTGAAAATACCAAATACTGCACATCTATATGACGTTTCTGCACGTAGGTGAGATATTCAAATACAATGAAAAAAATGTCAGCTGATTTCTCGATGTGGTTGTACATTTTGATGTTTTCAATAAGTTTTATATTGCCACGCATACCATTAAATCTTTGAAAAATATAAATTTTCTTAAAAACTGAATTTATATCTGTTTTCCATTTAAATTTTTTACCATTTTTTACATTAATTTAAATCAAATTTAGTTGCTCTTTTATCTGAGGGGGATTAAAAATATTTTCCAGATTTGAATTAATATTTTTGGCAACTATCAAAATCTCGCTTTATATAAAAAATAGATCACAAATTATGATTAAAATAATAACAAAAAAAAAATATTTATTTTAGAACCTTGCTTAATATCAAAAATGTATCACAAATTCTGACTAAAACATAAAAATTTAGCACTATGTATGAAATAGCGTGTGTATAAGTTGTAAACAAGCTAGAAAACGGCCAAACTACTGAACAATTAAAGAATAAAAATGCTTTTCAACGGTCTAGACATTTACATGAACTGGGTTTGGTGAAGTAAAGGTAATTTTTTTGAATAAAAAATAAAAAATGTTTGAAAAACTGGAAAATTTTGTTTAGGAAGAATTCAAGATTTTTTCAGTAGTCACCTCTAGGTATTTTTCAATGCAATTTATTATTAAATATTCAAATTTTTTTCGGCCCCTTTCTTGAGTTTCGCCACAAACTCAAATATTCTAATCCATATATCTTTATAACCTGGTATAAACATTTAATATTTAAAAATAAACTCAAAACTAGACAGTCGGTAGACAATGAGACTATGATGAATTAATTACATTTAATCAACAAGGTTTGTTTTCTCCTATTCAGCATAATAGACGTAAGAAATAATTCTGAAATATTTATTTCTTGAATCATACAAAACTTCAAAACAGTGATTTAACAAAGAATGTGAACAGTCATTTTTAGATTTTTCATACCTCTGATTGATTATATAATATTTTGAACATTTTAGTACACTTACATAACTCATGATAAAATCTGTTAAAAATAGATTTTGAAAATTCAGAGGACAGTACTTTAAAGAAAGAGAAAGTTTTGTTTTCCAAGAGTTTTATTCTGGGTTTTTTTGGGGGGGGATTTGCATTGATCAATTAATTTAGAGTTTTCACGTTTGAACTGGTCAAATCTACGCTGTACAAAAATCGTTGCAATTATTTCACGGAACTTTTAACTAATAGGCAGGGTTTTATAATTCGTGGAAGAATTGTTGGGAGGAAATAAAGCCGATCAAAATTACTCAAGGGTGGAATCACTTTTAAAACTATTTTGTGATTTTTAAAAACCAAAAGGGCATTTTTCTTTTTTGTTGGCGCTTTCTTCGAACAAACTTTATTTCATGAGATAGAAAAAAATGTTATAAATATATTTTCAAATATTTTTAACTCCTTGACATGGGGTTTTCTTAAAAAGATTGAAAAAGAAGGGGGAGNGGGATAATTTCTAGGATTAAACGTTTACAATCCCCTGGCTGCCAGGAGTGCTCTGAAGGGAATATTCCCTAAACATGAAGGCCGCCAAGGTTCTCAAAGCCAGGGAAAAGACATTTTGTTTTAACATTTATGATTTTTGGAAATCATTATTTTTCATCAGATCAATGATAAACTCTTGTTTAAGTTACAAAACTTCCCATAAAAAGGAGGGGGGGGGGGTGGTTGTACTTTAAACAACTAATTCTAATTGACCTCCCATTAAAAAGCATATGTCAGATTAATATTGGATACCTTTAAAACCTTTGTATCAGCGACATTTTTTATCTTAACTTGTTGAATTCTGTTTTTAAACAAAGACAAGAATATCTTCCTCATTTTGTAAAGACAAAGGTTAGGTAGTAAGGTACCATTGTGAATCGGGCCACTCGTTTAACTAAATTAGAATTGCTATGGTTACAAAGGAATTGAGCCAATTTATCTTTGCAACCTGATAGTGTAAACTGTCGATATTTTATAGCATTTATTTTGACGGAATTCATAGTTTGAAATATCTAAGTTCTATACGACAGACATTGGGTTTGCAAAGCAATGGGATGGAGAAAAACCGAGCTTGTTTCAAAGACCCAATTTAAAATTTTAAATCCTAAAAAAATGTCAAAAACCCAGACCTTGGACATTGGCATCCCTAGCATCAGCTCGACCCTACGCTGCTATTTTCAAAACTAAATCGTTTGACATGCTCTCTACAGATTTTCAACCAAGCAAGGAATAATATTTTTTAAAAATTAAAAGTTAGCAAAAAATTGAAAATTGGGGTTTACAGGTTGCTATGAAATTTTGTTTTTCGTTGATTCGTTGTTTAGTAAAGAATGAATCGTTGGCTTTTTTTTCAAAATCATTGCTTGGACAAAATATGCATCTTCTCATATTTGCCATTTTATCTTCTATGGAAAGAAACATTTCACGCAAATCTTTCCTTTTAGTAAAAGTAAATTCAGCCTATATGAAGCATAAAGTCTGACCGCGTCAACCTTAAAGGTAAAGGTTGACCCGGCTCGGAAATTCAAATATACTACGGCTGCCCGTGATTTACAATGTTCAAAAAAACATTGGTCCAGATCGAAATTTCTGAAGTTGAAGCCAGAAAGCTTCTAGGTAAAATCAGGTATGTTGTTTGCCAGAAAACATTTTTAAAATTATGAATCAAAATAACAAAAAATATATCCATTTTATTCAGTTTATAAACATTATAAAAATTTGAAAAATTTCTAAATGCTATCAATTCATTTTTGTGAAAAATATAATAGGATTTCTACTGATTTAGTATCTATATTTCTGCTCTCAGCTTAAGGAATTGTTTTTTTTTACACAAACTCTGATTTTCTAATTCCTATATCTTTGCAACCCAACGTCATGGACCTTAGATATTTGTAACTATTTTGTTAGATCAAATAATTTCTATGTTTGAAATGTGAAAGGTTTACATCATCAGGTTGCAAATTTATAGGGCTTAGAGAGTTTTTTGTCAATGACTCAATTCCTTTAAGGCTGGGGGTACATTTTAGGTTGGATAATAAAAACGTAATATCTAGAGAGGAGGCGATGTCTCGTATAGAATACGAGGGTATGGAGGGCCTGGGCAAATTAAGGAAGACAAATGAATTAATCAACAATTTAGAAGGAGGGAGAAGGGGGGGGGGTAGAGAAGGGATTGGGTAAGGGGTGGGACGGCAAAAAACCAAAGAATAGAGGCTATAGATGGGGAAGGAATTAAAACAAAGGAGGGGGTAGGAGGTATGGGTAGGGGATCGCAATTGACGGAAAACAACAGGTGAAAGGGTGGGGTTAAAGAGGGAAGGAGGAAGTATTAGTAGGGATAAAAGGAAGTTGGTTAAAAAATTAAAAAGGAAATGTAACAAATTGTATAGGAAGAATAAGAAAATCAGAATATTTTCAAAATTAATGAAAACAAAATTCTGCTTGTGTCTCCAGTGTGGTTCGACTAGAAGAATATGGAACATTTTTAGAACAAGAAAGGGGTCCAGGGCCCTTCTTAGACCAGCAGGGGGGTCCAGGGCCCTTCTCAGACCAGCAGGGGTGTCCAGGGTAAACAATTAATTGATTGATTTAGAGGAATTGGATTTTTTTTCTACATTTGACAAAAAAAAGAAAATTTTAAAAATGATTTTTTTCATGTTTAAGCTTTTAATCCTTTTCTTTGTGTGCCTCCCTCTAACAATATAAAGAAAAATATTTCTTAAAAATAATAATAATGATAATAATAATAATAATGTTATTCATTTAATAATCATCAATTAAAACATTGACTATCAGTGTATTTCAATGTATTTCTTACCATGGCCTGGTTACAAAACAATTGAGTTTGAGATAATTGCGTAATTATATATAAATGCGTACACCTAGAACCCGTTTGTACGCATTTATATTCTAACCCCCTTCTTTTAGTTACTAACCAGTGTTTGAACAGTTAACAATCATACAAACATTAAGATCTCATTATAATATCCAACAAATTCTAGCTGATGGGACAGAATGTTTTCACTTTAAAGTACGATATATCTATATTTAGGAACGTAAATGAAATTTATGAATGTCGTATTTTTTATTTTTTTATTGTGTTATTCATGGTTGCAGTTTCTCTAGAAAAATGGAAGAAATTTAAAATTGTTGTTCTTATGATCACCTGTTTAGGGTATTCTTGTAAATTCTTGTAAATCCTTGTAAATTCTTGTAAATTCTTGTATATTCTTGTAAATTCATGTAAATTCTTGTAAATTACTTTAAAAACTTCAAAAGGCTCTTTACTTGACTTTCTTACTTTTTTAGTTGTAAATGAAGTTAAACGCTTTCTTACAAAAAAAAATACTATTATGTTTTTATTTACAAATTACAGCCTGATGCTTTGTAAAAGTCATAATCTTGTACAAAAGACAAATTTTATTGCTTTCTACGTTTTTTGTAGAAATTTCAGTTAATTCTAAGTAGCATATTTTAAACCTACAACAGTTTTCAGATTGTAAAAATCTAAGTAGTGAATATTAATTATTAGGTGGAAATGGGATGTAGAAGAAGGGGGGGGGGAGAGGAAGGAAAAAGGGTGTGGGATAGGGAAATATATATTGTTTGATCGATTTCAGCTGGTATAGTTACACAGTGTACACTCTAAACAAAATAAACACCATAATTTGTATAAGTATACTTACTACTCAGTGAATATAGATATGTTTTAATGCTTGTTTGCCAAAAAAGTAAATTTTTTAACGTTCTCTTATTTTTGGTTGCGTATTTTTAATGATCATCTGCTTCATAACAGTGATTTTACAGTTTTTTTTTTCTTTTTTGGGTGATTGTTTTCACTCCGATTGCGTATTTTTTTTCCAAGATGTCGTCTTTATCTCTTTGTTTTGTTAAGGATGGGAAGCTTCACCTCCTCCCCAGCCCTAGTAGCAGAGGATAATCAGGACGATGCTCTCTCCTTTCAGCCTGGAGCTCATGAGGAGCTGGTGGAGAGATGCAGGAAGGAATTGATGGAGCTTCCCACCCCCCTGGAGAGAAGGTTTAGGAACTATTCACTTCAGAGCACTCAGAGCACTCAAGGTGATTAAAAGGGTGGATTTCTCGCTTCAAATTTAAATTTTTAAATCCATATATATTTGTAACCAGATGGTGAAAATGATTGACACTTTAAACTTTAATTTAACAGAATTCACGTTTTAAGATATCTAAGGTCTACAAATTTAGGTTGCATCGATATAGGGTTAACAAATCTGATTTTCTTACAAAGACTTGATTCCTTCGGAAAAAAGCGTTCGGAATTTTAAGAATCCATTAGCTACAGCGCTCAGTCCCCTTTTGAAAGTGAATGGAGCTTATATAGCCTTAAAGGGACAGACCGTCTATGTAAGGTAGTTAAACTGAGTATGCAGTGTTGTGGACATATTTTTTAGGATTCATTTGAGATATGCAAAACGTTTCCACGACGTATAATTACTGAGCTTGAATGCATAGTCCACGTTCAAAATCATGAATTTTGGTGGGTACGTTTTCAGAATAGTTGTTTTTTAAATTATTAAATAACGACGACAAAAAATAAAGTAAATATTATAGAGTAAAATAATTAGGTGGTTAGGAACATATTTCTCAAAAATAATTGTCAATGAATCAATGCTAGAAACACTTATTTTGTTTTCATCATTATATTTAGTTTCTTATTTTCTATGAATTTATTCGTAGATTTCTACAAATTCTTCAAATGTCGTCTTTTCAATAATACTTCCAGAAATAATGAGAGACTAGAATAAGGAGAAAATAGAAACTAATAATTGAACAAGATAACTTTTTTTCGATGATAAGATTAATTTTTATATTCTCAACCTGTTCCTAAACATCTAATTAGTTTGCTTTAGAATTTTGCTTACATTTTTTGTCGTTGTCATTTAATAATTTTTTTTAAAAATTCTGAAAACGTATCCACTCAAAACTACAACTTTGAACGTCGACTTTGGGCTCAAACTCAAGAATTACAGATCTTCAAAAAGTTTTAATATGTCCAAATGAATCCTAAAGAATTTGTCCACAACACTGCATATTCAGTTCAACTACCTCTCATTGCCGGTCTGTCCCTTTAAGTAATCCTTTATAATCAAAATTATATTGAAATTTTCTAAAAATCGTTGGCTTTGCCCATTCCGGATAATGTCCGGAATTTTCTCTGAATAAAATTTTTCACTTTCGGAAATTAGTCCGATTTCTCAAATTTGCTTTCCTGAAAATTATAAAGCGTTCATCTCTTACTGATATATCAATATGGTTCATTCTTTTTTCCTGGCTTTTTTGCGTAAACAATTTTTAATCTTGTAGTACAGTAAGTACATCGAGAAATCTTGAATTGATATTTGCAAAATAATGTATTCTTGATCCAGATGTGATTAAACGTGATCATACTTAACCTGCATCTATAGCACTGCACAGTCAGAAATTCCAAATGTCATCAAAAATTTGCAACTTTTCAATAAATGAGCTCAGTGCCTTTTTTTAGTTGAGTAAAATATACAATTGGACTTTAGCTATTTTATCTGTAAAAATAATACCCAGCAATGAGAATTTACTTCACTAACTAAAATAACATTTTGTATTTTATCAAAGTGTACAATGTACAATGTACAATGCACAATGTACAATGTACAATGTACAATGTACAATGTACAATGAATTTTAGGCGGTCAGGGGGGAGGATGATTGTTTTTTTTTGTCACAATACTCCTCTTAAAAATCATTTGTCTTGTGTTTCTTGTGAAGAATGGACAAAATAAATATTTGCTGATAATCTGTTCATGTAAAAACATTGCATCAATTGTAGCTTGCATTGATTTATAATGATTTCAATTTATAATTACTTTTTATAATTTGACCAGAATTTGATGAATTTTAGCCGTGTCTTAAACTTGTCAAATCCGCCAAAAACTGGTTTCAATTGAGCGCCGGCTTAAATCATGAAACATTGAATACAATTTAAAGTGGAACCAATCATATTTTAGCCGCGTCTCAAATTTAAGCCGCGGCCTCAAATTCTTTAAATTCGGCCTCTGGAATTCAAATTAAAGAGACTGTACGCCTAATTTTAAGTGACTCTCTATGCAAAGATTACCATGCCCGCCGATACACCACGATACCCTTGAAACTTTTATCTGATCAATAATGAAGAAAAGTTTGACATTTTTCTAGGTTTAAATGTTAATTTCTTATAATTCCAAGTTTTAAGTTTTCATGTGGTAGAAATTTAAAGAAAACCCGCATTAAAAAATAACCAGCTTCAAATTTATAAACATGAAAGGACAAAGCTTTTAAGGATACCGCGTTGTGACTCAGGTAAATCGGACATTGTCATCTATCAATAGAGGGTCACTTGAAATTCCGCTTACAGTCCCTTTGAATTCTTCAATCAGAGCTGAACACTTTAGAATGATATATCCTTAATCCTGATCACTTTATCGGAGTATCCAATGTACACACTTTTGATTTTATGCTTAATCTCCTCTTTTTTAGATATCCAAACGTTTGATAACAATTACAGATGCAATGCTATATCGATTGAACTGATATCCGATTGAATTAAAGTAAGCTGTTCGCAAGCCTGCTTTTAGAGCATTTGAGCAAATATAAATTTAATCATGTAAATATGAACAGTTATCAAAGAATATATTTCATCACTTTTTAGGACTAATCATTTTAAACAAGTCTTAACTAACATTAATCAAAAACTTACATTTGTTTAATCAATGTTTAGGTCAATTGATATGACACAATTAACACCAAAAAAACGATTTTTCAAAAATTATAGATACACTGATTGGTTGAATTTTATACTTCTTTCTTGGATATCGAATGCGTATTAAAGTAATATCAGGTTTAGTAAAACCAGGAGTTTAAGCATTAATCTTGATATCCATTATTCTAAAGTTTTCAGAGCTGGGAACTTTAGAATGGATAAACTTTAATCCTGACTTCTTGATCCGAATATCCACGGTGGAAACTTTTCATTGTTGTCCTAATCCACTCTTTTTCTCTCTCCTTGGAGATCCGTTAATTGTTTTCTCCAATGAGAATATTTCTGTTCTCTCATTGGTTGCCCGCTTTTCTCTGATTGGCTGCTACAGTTTCTCAGATGATTGAATATTAATTTAAATTTTATCGTTTTTCATACACTATTAAGATAATCTTGCAAGATTATGTTAATCTTGAGATTATCAAAAAGAGAGGATCAAGCATTAATCCCGATATCCACCATTCTAAAGTATTCAGCTCAGCTCTGATAGTTTACGCTGTGGAAACTGACACAGTTTATATAGCTAAACGATAACCCAATCAACAGTTTTTAGATGTATATCTGTTTCAGCTTTGGGTACAAAGAATGACAAGTTCGTATGCTGCCCAGCAGAGGCGTTAGTGTGGGAGACAAGAAGATGGCGGTTGCTCCACGAGATTCTGCGCTATGAACCGGATATAATCTGTCTGCAGGAGGTTGATCACTTCAATCTGCTAGAGCGGGCCCTTGGCTCGGTTGGATACAGTGGAAGGTTTGTTCCTAAACCTGACTCTCCTTGTATCTATCTACCGGAGAACAATGGACCCGACGGGTGCGCCATCTTTTACAAAAATTCTAAGTTTGACCTCGTATCTGAGAGTAAACGTGTACTTGAAGTATGGAGAGTGCAGAGTAACCAAGTAGTTCTCTGTCTAAACCTAAAGCATCGAGATACAGAGAAGGAACTATTTGTTGCCACCACCCATTTGAAGGCCAGGCAGGGTGCGCTTCTCTCCACTATGAGGAATGAACAGGGGAAAGATATGCTTGATTGGTTGGCTGAAAGTGCTGCTGGAAAGCCCCTCCTTCTCTCCGGAGATTTCAATGCTGATCCGTCTGAACCTGTTTATCAATCTGTTGTACATCATGCTTCCCTCAACCTTAGCTCCGCGTACAAATCAGACAATCTGGGAGTTGATGAATACACAACTTGGAAAATCCGGGAAACCGGTGAACAGAAATACGTTCTGGATTACATCTTCCACTCGGAGTTCCTCACCCCGGTCTCAGTCCTGGAGATGCCTTCAGAGGAGGAGATTGGGGCACACCGACTCCCTTCACTTCAGTTTCCATCAGACCATCTCTCATTGGTGGCAGATTTCCACCTGATTTAACACAATCTCTGGAGTATTAGTGCGTACACCTCCCCCCCAATTGATTGTGCAGCTTTACACTGTACAGTAGAGTTGGGCGTGCAATCATCCATTCCAAGTCGTACAGTAGAGGCTCAGTACTAAAGGAGAGTACAAGCTTATTGTTTGAAGCCCCTGAAAATCTAATGAGCTGCAACAAAATCTTTTTAAATAAAGTGTACAATGTACATAAGTTGAGTATGTACAAGTGTTTAAACCGTTGATTTATATTGAAGCTTAAAGAACCGTTCATATCACGATGCAAACTTCTAGAGTTCAATATTTATTATATATATTTATCCTAATAAAAATATTTATACCTTTTTTCTTTATTCATTTCAAATTAAAAACAAGAAATATTTTGCCCTAACAAAGTATTTTTAAATTTAGTTTATTTTTTACCTAAAAGCCTAGTTTTAATGAAAGGTTGGGGAAAAAAGTTAAAAGTATATATTTTGACAAATCAGAATTTTGAAAGGATCAAATCATGTTTTTGGAAATAGGGCGGAATTATTGGTTTATTTTTATGCCTATTCAAAATAAAAGAATTACTTTTTTCATTTATTTCAATAAAACTTGTAACTGAAATATGAAAAATCAACAATCAGGAAAATGATTAGAATTACATTATATTAAACAATGAATGTTAAATATAGAAACTACAAACCTTTTTTATTTTTTAATCCAAACGAAAATTGGATTTTAACAAAACATGGGGAAAATCCTATTCAAACTCAGATATTATAGTTGGGCTATTTTTGCTCAATATACTGAAATGTTGACTACACAGACTGAGTTGAACCAAATCTATTGATAGATTTAGTTAAATTCTGTTCAAGGAGGTGCAGACCTAGATACGGACAGGTATAATTTTTTTACTTTTTTGTAAAACGTTCGTTTCGTTTTGTTAATGATGAAAAAAATCTGAAAACGAAACGATCGTATTTGAAAGAGATGAAACTAAGTTATGATCGTTCCAGAAAACGATAATATTTAAAAGGATTGATAAAGGGACCGTTCACTTATTTGAGTAATTTCAGGGTAAACTAAACAGCCTAATTCTCTGTTGATTGTTAATAGTCTTACTCTTCAAAGACAACTGTGGCCAGAGAAAAAGCCGATTTTTCGTTCAGAATTTGAGCGGATAGGGACGGTCCCTCTCTATAAACACTATTTGATGTTTTTTTTTTTTCAGTAACAGCAGCCCAATAAAATTTAAATTTATTATATTTTAATGTCCTTTAATATTAAGAATTTTATGCCATTATGTGTTCGTTATTATGTACTAAATTAAGAAAACTTTTGATATTTGAGTTAGCAAGAAATTTATACGCCTTCCATATTAAAACATGTTAAATGTGTATACAAAGACGACAATTAATTGATCATTACTCGTATTTTGGTTCGTAGATTTTGTAGATTTTGTTCCTGTATGTGCGCCGCGTTCAATTCAGCTTTTTACATAGGCATTACACAATTTTGAATGCAATAAAATAATGTTATTTTAAAAATAGAAAGTTAAAAAAACAAAACAAATTAAAAAATTATGACATTTACAATAAACGATTAAATACTACAGTTTAATTTTATATTCGAAATTTATTTTGATTCACAACATACTGAAAAAAAAACATTATTAGTGTCTATAGAGAGGGACCGTCCCTTTCCGTTCAAATTTTGAACGAAAATCGGGTTATTCTCCGGCCACAGATGTCTTTGAAAAGTAAGACTATTAACAATCAAGAGCGAATAGGCTGTTTAGTTTACCGTGAAATTATCCAAATAAGTGAACTGTTCCTTTAAGAAACGAAAATGATAGTTTTGAAAACGATCGTTTTGGAATGAAAATTATCGTTTTGAAATATAAACGATTGTTTTGAAAACGATCGGTTTGGGAAAAAAACAACAAATAAAGCATGTTTATATAAAAAATAAAAATTTGAATCTACAAACCTCGCTTCCAACGATAACATTTTTGTTCATATAAAATTTAAACAAAAGCTATCGTTATTGTTTTAAAACTAGTTTTGTCCTTTCGTTTTTTTCAAAAGCTCAAAACTTAAAACTTCGTTAGTTTCAACAGTTCTTTTTTTCTTAAAACGAATGTTAGTTAGTTTTGATAAATCTAAAACTTTACAAAGAACGATCGTTTTTTTCGATCTTTAATTTTAAATTATGCCGATCCCTAGCCGAACAGTCCATATTTCCAAAGCATAAGGTGAAGCCCGTCAGGAAATTTGGAGGAAAATGTACATTAGATTCTGACGTGTGTATTTAGCTTCAACTACACTGAACATTGTCATTAGGTACAGTACGTGGAAAAGGGATATGAAAATAAACCAAAAGTTAGTTGGGAGGGGGGGGGGGGAGGTTGATTTTATCCATGGTCTATTTGGGTTATAAAAGGATAGTAACTTTTCATCACCTTAATCATTCATGATAAAATGGTAAATGAAGACTAACTCTACATACATATACAGTGCTCCCCAAAATAAAATGGTAAGCATTGGCGACTTTTCAAAATATACAGTGCTCTCCTAGATAAAATAATAAGCATTGAAAACTTCTCTTTAATATACAGTTCTCCCCAAAATAAAACGGTAAGCATTGAAGTCCTTTCAAAGTATTCAGTGCTCCCCAAAATCATATGAAAATTGAAGACGACTTCTCATTAATATACAGTGCTCCTCAAAATGATATGGTATGCATAGATGACTTCTTTTACAAATTCAGTGCTCTCTATATCATTTTGAGAAGCACTGTGTATTTACAAAAATCGTCAATGCTTACCATTTTATTTTGGGAAGCACTTTATATTAATGAGAAGTCGTCATCATTTTCCATATAATTTTGGGGAGCACTGAATATTTTGCAAAAGTCGTCAATGCTTATCATTTTATCATGAATGATTAAGGTGAAGAAAAAGTTACAAATCTTTTTATAAACCAAATAGACCATGAATAAAATCACCCCACGAAATTTTGGTTTATTTACATATCCCTTTTCCACGTACTGCACCGAATAACAATGATCAGTGTCCTGACGGGTTTGAAAAGAGTAGTGTTCGTACTTTGATTAGATATATCAAAAATAACTGACAAAATATCAAAAAAAAGATACAGTTTACAAAACACCCCCCCCCCCTTCACAACTAAATTTTGGTTTATTTTCATATCCCTTTTCCACGTACTGTATATATATACATATCCCTTTTCCACGTACTGTATATATATACATGTCCTTTCCTAATTTTCTTTTTTTACAGAAATGAAGAGAAAACCACATTTGAATAATTAGTTTTTCAAATTTCAAACATGGACATCTAGTTTACACTTTACCTTTCTGAATTGGACATCGGCATTTGTAAAGGCAGGGTCGTTTGAAAAGAGTTTTCTTTTTAATCCGACAAATTTATAAAACTCTGCTTAATACTCAGAGGCCGCCCTAGATTAGGACCCCCCAGCCTTTTTTTTGGTTTTAAATTATAAATAACTATTAAATTGTGTAGTTTAAATATTCAATTTCCATACAATTTAGTTTTATATTTTTACTAAAAGTTTAGTTTTGACTATTCATTTTATTGTCCTATATAATAAATGGGATTTGCTTTTAATGCATAATTAAGTACGTAATTCTGTCCAAAATAGTGGGTTTGTTTTAATTTTAAATGAAAATTTTTATGAATTTTTAATTTAAAAAGAGCATGTATCAAAATCAATTTCTAAAATTGCGTATGCGGAAAGTACTTATAAATGAACTAATGAAAGGTATTCAACTGTTTTTGAAGAAAAGTTTGCCTTTATAAAACACTTGTTAAGCAAGAAATACAAATATCTTCTAAATTATCGAACTTGATAAATGTTTTAAAAGTGCCGCTGTGCGTCTCTATACATGAATTGAAACACCGTGAAATTTTTTGACTTTAATTAATATTAATTTAAAGGATTTTTGTAACTTTTTTATTGCATAGGGTAATGCATAGAGCGAAAACAAGCCCATGTCTGTGTAAAAAATCAAAAATAGCCCTTAAATTTGTGTTTCTAAAGTAAGCTACAGGTCAAAAACTAAATTTTTGAAAAGCCCTTGAAAAATGGATGTAGGAACATATGTTTGTTTGTGTGTTTGTATCCAATAAACTTCAAAAAGGCTGAAGAGATAAGTCCCACATTTTTTGTGGGACCTCACGGAACCCCAGGGAAGGATTATGAATGATCAAATTTATAAAAATTGCCTCTAACAAAATTCAATTTAAATTTTTTTTTGAAAATCTACGAATTTTAATAAAATCAACGCACTTTCTTTTATTTTTTTTTATTGCGTACTAACTACAAAGAGAAAATGTTAACAATTGAAATAAAGTATGGCCTCTTTAAATTAAGAATTTATTATTTTTAATAGGTTTATGTACATTGTACATAAAACACAACAATTGTGCAATTTAACACCTTGAACCATTTTTCTTTACAAGTTGATTTTCTACATAGCTTCTGGTTATTGATATTGTGATAGATCTATTTCAATTTACATAAATTATTTTAATATCGTCTTCCTATTCCTGAGTTGTATTAGTATCACTGTACAGTCATCATGAAGACGACTTTTCATTTCAATTTTGATTGATATCAAGCCTTTCAACAGCATAAATACACATGGAAACAAAGAGAAACTGTCAAAAACACCTTTTCTTTTGCTTACTTGTAAGCTTATTATTCGAATAAAATCTTGTTAACAATCGAAACTTGAATAAAAAGTCGTCTTCATTGTATTCAAACGCCGACAACTGTATACAGGTAAAGAATGGTTATGGGGAATTTGGTCCAGATTGGAAAGCTTGTAATTTTTACAAAACATTAATTTTACGTTGTTTAAATATATTTTGCAAATTTAACCAAAAACTAACCAGGGTGTTTAAAAATCTTGAAATAATTTTAAAATTGTTTTCTTAAAAGAAAAAAACCCTTAAAATTCAATACAGCCTATTTGTGGTTTATTATTTAGCAATTAAATTAGAATTATTATTTTGAAACACCAGGATTGTCATGCAATATTAGCCCTGGTCAAATAAAGGTTTAGTTTCACTATGAGGGTTTTACTAATAACATTCCTCATAATGTTAGTGGGAATATCTCATGGATTTAAACAAGGGTATTTTTTAAAATTAATTTAATCCTATTTAAATCGATGGGGGGGGGTGTACTCTCCCCCCCCCTGTTGTTTTTTCTAAATTACTCAAAAACAGTTCATATTAACACGCTAAAACTTCTTCACTTTTTTGACATGATTGTATGTTATGAACAATTTTGCCAAAATATTTTTAAATGCATATGGTAGGGCAGTGAAATGGCGCGTCGGTGTTTCAAAAATCAGATATGGTCAATACAGGGCTAAAACTTAAATATTTTAAAAATTTCATATTTCAAAAATGGATGAAATAACATTTTTAAACATTTTTCAAACTTACTTTTTGAACAACTTATATAATATCCTACCTTGCACCCTAACCATTAAAGTTAGTGGTCTATTTTTTTTAAGTAGGACTTGGAACATGTATCACCTCCCCTTTCTCAACGTGGGCTCAGTTTCATTTGCCACAATAATTTTGCCATAATTACACTTGCCATAATACCTTTGCCATAAGTAACACTTGCCATAAGTCACACTTGCCATTAGTCACACTTGCCATAAGTTACACTTGCCATAATTACACTGACTATAATTACTTTTGTCATAATTTTCTAATTTCTAAAAAGATATAAATCTGTCTTTTTTATTGTAAATGCGGGAAATTTTTCAATGAATATTCCCAACTTTAGTTTTCTCATTGTTTAAAACAGAACAGCTGACCAAGTTTAGCTCCATATTTTCTCACAATGTAGGACCCTTTGGTGACCTTTGAGACCACAAGTAAACTGGCAAGTGAAATTATAACAAGTGTAAATCATGGCAAGTGTAACTTATGGCAAGTGTAATTTTAGACAAGTGTTACTTATGGCAAATGTAATTATGGCAAAAGTATTTATGGCAAATGTATTATGGCAAATGAAACTGAGCCCTCAACCGTATAGGGCAAAATCTATATGAGACAAAAATAGCCTAATTGGGATAGGGTTAATTCAGTTTTTGATTATCCAGTGGCCGAATTTAAAGAATTTGAGCAGCGGTTTAAAATTTAAGCCGCGGCTTAAATATGGTTGGTTCCACTTAAAATTGTATCAAATGTTTCAAGATTTAAGCCGGCGCTAAATTTAAACCGGGTTTTGGCGGATTTAAACCGCGGCTGAAATTCTTTAAATTCCATCTTAGGTCGTTTAAGAGAACTAGAAATATAACTTCGACTACATGGGATTCTAAAACTATACTTAAGGAATATTATTAGCTTTATATATATATACTAATATAATTAATTTATTATTCAATCAAACAACAGATAAAAATCCTCGTACACAATCTTTAATCAGGTCTGTTATATAAATTCTGGTATTTAAAGAGACTCTAAGCATAATTTGGAGTGACTCTCAATGCAAAGATGACTATGTAGATAAATAATACCAAAGATAACAGATAAAATTTTCCAAATGTAAAGGGAGAGACCGGCTAGACATTGTAGTTGAGCTAAAAGTACAGTATTTGCATTTGATACTAATGAGACACGTTTACAGTGTACGAATCTTAAATATGAGCGTAAAGTTGTTTGTAACATTCACCAAAGTTTTTACAATTATTAAATAACCCGGACAAAACATGTAAAATATTTTTTTCCATGTAATGTAAAAATCGTAAAAGAACATTTTAGCTGCTGACTATAATAATTGAAGAAATATTACACTCTTATTTGAAAACTGCACACCAGTTGAAATGTCTCATTTGTTTCAAATGAATTCTAAAGTTGTCCCTCTACAATAATTCTCTTTCAGCATAACTGCCATGTCTCTCCATTTAAACAAGGAAACATCTTGTCCATATATATATATATACTTTGCTTGTTTGTCTGTCCGTTTGGATCTAATAAACGTCAAAACGGCTGAACTGATCGGGCTCAAATTTTAATGTGAAGGTTCATGCATAATCAAAATTACAAAAATTTGTATCTTAAATTTTTTATTTTTGTAAAATTTTGAAAATTGAAAAACTATTAAATCCGAGAATTTTTTGGGGGGTTTTTGTTTAATATGATACAAAGAGGATGCTCACAGATAGAACCACATTAAAAGTTAAAAAAGAGAATGTACGCGTAGCACCTTAAAATCCAAGTATTTCATATTTGATCCTCAAAGTTGTAATGGGTACCTTTGTCTATCGAACTTGGTCATCTTTGCATATAGGGTCAATACACATTACGCCTTTTGTCATTGCAAACTTTATATTAAAAGAAAAACAAAAATTTGTTCTAAAGATTTAAAACCTTTAAACATATTCAATTTCTTCTTTTCAGTAATAATTGATTTTATACATAATGCAGTGAAAGTTGCATGTCATTTTTTTACAAAAACGATAGTTTTTCCAAAAACGACCGTTTTTATGAAGTTCGTCGTTTCGTTAGAGATTGTTAACAATTGTTAACGACAACCCTTTGTTAACCATCGTTTACGACGACCCTTCTTTACCGATCTTTAACGACGACCCTTCGTTAACGATTGTTAACATAATTGTCAATAATTTTTTTTGCATAGACGATCTTTTTTTCAAAAGCGATTGTCTTTAAAAAAACAATTGTAAAAAACTGTCGCAAATCGTTTTTTAAACAGGATCGCTTTCAAAAACGATCGTTTTTCATTTTCTAAAAGTTCAAAAAGAGTGGGTCGTTTTTAAAAACGATCGTTTTTTCCCAAAAACAAAACGATCGTTTTTGAAAACGATTAAAAAGCAAAACAAAAAACGATCGTTTTCAAAATCGATTAACAACCATAGTTGCAATAAGGGGATGGTATAGAGGACGTGAGTCGGACTCTAATAAAAACGCATAGATAACTTCCAGTATATATATTTCTTATAACTTATAACTAGAGGGTTCAGAATAATCGTTATTGTCGAAATCACACGTGTAGAAGTTTCAGTACTAATGCCCCGTATCCGTTCTATCTCATTCTGTTGAATCTTGTGGAACTTGTTTAACGCGGACAGGAGTCGTCTTCCACAATGGATTGTTTCCAGTTTTAAAAAAAGATCGTTTCAAAATAATTATGACAAAGAAAAAAACAAAAAATTAAACCATAGTTTTAAAAAATGATTGTTGTTTAAAAATAATCGTTTTAAAAAGACTCTTGGTTAACGACTGTTACAACGACCCTTTGTTAACCATTGTTAATGACCTTTTCAAGGGAAAATACATTTTTTGACCAGAAAATCTGAGGACCGAAAACATTCAGGTCTGTAAACAAAAAGAAACCATTTACATCTTATCTACCTAAAAAGAATTGAAATTATCTGGTATAAAACTGGAAACATTAACAATGTTTATTTCCAAAACTATTGTTTAAAAAAAACGATCGATTTCGTTTTTTAAATTTCAAAATGAGTGGTTTGATTTTGAAAAGTTTTTTCTGTTAACAAAACAATCGTTTTTTGAAAAGAAAGCAAAAGACGATTGTTTATTTAATTGTTTTTAAAACGATTAACAAAAACAGTTGGAATCCCTCCCTTCAATGAGTTATCTGTTAATCACTATTACACTAGCTGCATTCGATTTTCTTTTACTTGAAGTCGTCTTAGTTTAAAAATTAAATTCCCATTTCTAGGATCAAAGTGGTTATTTACAGGAAGTTCAGCAATTTACCAATAATGGCGAGAATCTTTCCTCTGTACAAAATGCAATGTCGTCTTTTATTTTCAATTCAAAGTTAGAAATAAAATGCTTTTTGTTTTGAAAAGGTTTTTACTCTCAATGTTTAAGTCGTATAATTCAAGGAGGATTTGTAAATAATTTCTTGTGAAAAGTTCAAGTCTTAAAAAGGTTGAAAATGGAAATTTTAATTTGTTTTGATATAAGTTGTACTTCGTTTGAAAAATTACTTCAAAATTACTTTAGACATTCTAGGGTTTGGTACTACTATATTATTGACAAAAACCATACTGCAGTCCTTCAATTATCATACAGGGAAATTTTCATCTCTCAAAACATATTTGGGAATTATCTGGCAGGTTCATTTTAGAAAAAGATTTTACGTTCTTATATAATTCTCAGATATAGATTATAATCTTTGGGGTATGAGGTATGGCTAGGGCGGAGCACATTCAGACTTTTTGTTAAAATTTCTAAATAAGCTAATCATGGAATGTTCTGTTTGTTTGCAATATCTTCTGTTATTTTTTAAAGTAAATAGACGACTTTAAAAAATCCAAATAATTTAAAAATTACCTCAAAATCCATAAAAGAAAATGCCATTCTCTGTGAGTTTTATGAAATTTAAAGTGGAAAAATTATTAAAAGTCGCATTTATTTTGAAACTTTTCCGTTTTCTTTTTTATCGAAAGTTACATTTTTATTAAAATATGGCAATTTCCGACCCAATTAACAATATTATCAGACTCCTCCCTTAATTATGAAAAACTTGCTGTTTGGTTTAGCATTCAGGTCTCCGTAATGTGCTAATAATGTTTAGAGGAAAGCAGACTCCAACATGCTATGTACAGCATATTGTCTCAATGAAGTGGACTGTAACTCCATCTATTATGACAAAACAAGCCAGGATTGCTCACTAGCAAATGTTGGTCTAGCATTTGCCTTTTTAGGATTCAATTTCAACTCTAAACAGGCTGGGGGGGGGGGGGGGGGGTTGACCCCCCCACATCCTGCAGTTTTTTTTGTCCTAGCACTCTCTTTTTTGACATGTCACTGTTAACTTTTGTGACTTTTAATGAATTGTAATTTGATTTTTTGTCAACAAAATATTTTTTTTATTTATAGGGTAGGGTACAGGGTGAAAAAAAAGTCCGGTCTGTGAAAAAAAGCTAAAATAGCCAAAACTTTTTTTGACTAAAGCTACAGTTCTAAAAACTAGATTTTTAAAAAGCCCTTGAAAAATGCATGTAGAAACATGTGTCAGACTTTGATGTTTCTTTAAAACAACAACAAAACTTATTTTTTCATTTTTTTACCCTTTTCTAGGCACTTTTTTCAACCCTCCCTAGCACCCAAGCTATTAAAGTTATCGGTCTAACTTTTTTTCTTTGAGCTGGCAATGAAAAATCTGGCTATGAACATGCATTTAAACCCTAAACCTATTATCTAAGGCCTTTTTCTAGGGGGGGGGGCGGCGCCAAACGCACCCCCAGGCTTTACATAGATCAGACCCCCCAGCCTTCATAAGATTTAATATTTTCATCAATTAATTAAATTTAAACTGTTAAGCTTGAGCTAATGGTAATTCTGCATACCAATGTACATATTTAGATTATGGCTTGTATGATAAATATTGGAATGAAGGTTATGTTACATGTTTTAAGATAAATTCTAATATGAACTGTGTTTCAGTTGTCTAATCTTGAAGCTACTCCTAAGGATAGTCTAGAGGTGTTTGTTGCTACAGATGTGATCAACAATATTCCATTAAACTATTGTTATCCTGCAAAGCCTTGTGGTGGAGTGGATTCTGAATGCAATATCAGGAAAGATACAGGGGCCAAGTATTAAATCAACTAAATATAGAATTTTAATATTCAAAAACTGGATTACCTGTACTTAGAGGACAATTCAAGATATGGATGCCTATACTGTGATGACAAAAAATGGATTTTATGACAGTTAAAGAAATTGAGTCTTTGCCACAAGCTCTAATTTTTTAATCCCTATTTACTTGCAAGCCAATGTTGTACACATTCTGTTAGATAAAAAAGTTAAAGTCTAAAATATTAAAGGTTTACGTTATCAGGTTGCAAAGAAAAAGGGACTAAAATATCAGAGTTTGTGGCAAATTTTACTAATGCGAGCATACAAATCCGCATAAGTAAGAAAAGTTGGTGTACAATTTTTAAGACATCAAAATACTAAAAAATGTACATTAATCAATGGCTTTTGAATGCTCATCATAACATATTTTAATAAAATATTATTTTTCTTAAAAGTCAAATACCATTAACTTTTACAGAAAATCTTTTTACTTTAAGTATTTTAAACTTTTATACTCAATTCAAATCCGGCTGAAACAATTCTGATATCAAAACTTGTTAAAAATAAACCTTCCTTAATGTTTAGTGAGGAATGTGAAGAAGGCCTGATCTGTTCTACCAATACTGCAGGCTTTTCCAGTTGTCAGGTTATATTGTAATAAACTCATAAAAGAAATTAGTATACATAAACACAAGATTTGTATATACTTGTATAAATGTAGATGTTAGTTCCACATTTATTGAACATATATTTCGGTCTGGGTTGACCCTTGTCAGTTCTTGAGATTGTTTCTGTCACAAAGATTAAAAATAAACTACAACTACTTTACAGGGAAGCTCATCTAATTTTTCTTTACCAAGGGTTCCCAAGACAAATTGTGTTTACAAAAACATCCTTTGGATGTTTTGTAGTCAAATTGGTCCAAGGAACCCATGGTAAAGTAAAAATTTTTTATTTCCCAAAAATGTGGTTGTACACAATTTTATTTCCTCAAGATGAAAATGCCCAAATTTGTTCCTGAAAACTTTGCACAGCGGGTGGTTATTTTACATAACTGTCCCAACCAAGGGATGTTAACTGTTCTGCAAAGGTTTTTCTATGGCCAGTACAAATGTACATATTAATCTAGTTAGTTGTATAGTGTTTAGGATATGATAAAAAAAAATAGAAATAATGATAATCATAACAATAAAACGTTTAATTTCTCAAAATTATAAAGAAAAACACTCCCAGAAAATACACCTTGTTGTTATACCTAGCGATTTCTATATGTTGGATTTTTATAATGTTGACTAAACCCAAGATTATTTCAAAACATTATCTCATGCTAAAGTTTTCTGCTCTGTTCAGTATAATTGTTGACAGATAACAGCAACACACCAGATAAACTTAGATAAAAGGCCCGTCGGAATTCCAGTGAGGGAAATATATTCTGTCCGGACAATTCCTTTCCGGTCGGCCACAAATACACACAACAGAGTAACCCCGTCTCAAGAAAATCGATAACAAAAGCTTTATTTCCTAAAAAATAACATAAATTATAGGTCATGGTTACTTGTACAATGTTATAATAAATGTTAATAATAGAAAAAATCTTATGATTTATTTAGGTATGATACAAGGGAAACTTATTGTTGATCAGTATTGAAATACGTTTTTAAACTTCTGAAAAAAAATACAGTTGAATATTTAACGAAATTCACTAATGCTTCATATGAAAATATTCTTTGCTTAGCTTTTTTTTTGAAATGGGTTCACAATTAATAAAAGTGTTTAAACTCTGTTGTCGGAGAACAAAGAGAAGCGGGGCTGAAATTGTTTGGTATGGTTTCTCGTCTCCGAGAGGTGATTTTAGGTTGAAGAAGACATTACATGGATGGAAACTCTAGGTTTTGTAGGTTTAGGAACGACATTACATGGATGGGCGGGGGCCTTATAGTTAATGGTTGACACTGGCCCCAGTCAGGGTTCGAGGATGTTAGGGTAACATACGAAAATCAAAGGAAAACCATTAACAATATACTGAAATATGTAATTTGAATGATTGATAGGTACTAAATTGATTGATTGAAATAAACAGAAGTGGAATTACAAGGTACATTAATTAATACAGCATTCAACTAATAATAATTGATGAGATTAAACAGTGAAGTAAAATTGGAATCGACGCACATTCTTCTGTGCTTATTTGTTAAAATTATTTAAAGGAAGAATAATAAAAAAAATAAAATTAATATGTAAACTGAGGATGGGCTGAAATCTTGAACATAACTTAAATGAAAGAGCTAAGATAAAGGGAATTTTAAGTTATTTAAACTAAATTGTTTCCTGTTTCGTGTGCAAAGAAAATTGAAATGTTCAAATAGTTGATTTCTGCGTTGAGTTGCAAATGATTCTATTGATTGATTGCATTGAGCTCTGGGAGGAATTCGTCCTGTGCAGGCTTTGGTCTGGATCTTGGAGCTGGAGCTAGATATCCTGCTCTTGCTTTCTCCCCTGAATCTCTTCCTGGAATTTCTGATTCGATGGGGGTGTTGGGGTTGTTCTGGGATTCTGGACTGGTGGGAATAACTGGAGTGATCGTTGGTTCTGATCTGACAGAGACTGGGGTAGGCGTGAGGTTCAGGACATGTTTAAGGGTTTGGTTCTTCTCCTGTTTCTCTTCCTGACCTCCCGATTTCTCTCTGAAGCTCCTGGGTTCCCTCCTGTTTCCTTTCCTGTTGCTCCGGTTCTTAACCCGAGCTTCCTGGTTCTCCTCCTGATTATTTTTAGAAGAAATTGATGTTTCTCCTGCTTCATCTCCTAATTTCCCGGTTTTTCCTCCCAATTTCCATCCGGATTTTTTTGTTTCCCTCCTTGTTCTATTCCTGTTTCCTTGGTTCTTCTCCGAGTTTTTAACAGGAAGATCTGGTTTCCCACTTGTTCCTTTTCCAGATTTCCAGGTTGACCTCTTGAATTTCCTGGTACGATTGGAGGAAGGGTCAAGAGGTTCCTCCCAGGTGACTATGTTGGAGGGGACAGATCCGTACACCATGTATCCCTGGGTCAGGTTGTTCCGGTACAGGGCCATTCCCTGTGGGTCACGCTCAATCTCTGAAGGGAAGAATAAACTGTTATTGCCGACAAGTAGAATTTCTACTTGGCCTGTATGCTGTGAGGTCGAGGTCCCAATGAATGACCTCCACTTGTGAGGAACTGAAAGTGAAAATCCGGAACCGTTGTTGAGGTTGTCCTCTATTATCGCTAGCCTCAGGGTTTTCCCAAGTAGCTTCAGCTTGACCTCAGTGGTGAGGATAACTCTTGCTTTCCCTGAGTAGGTCAGCACCTTCATCTTGTACGAGGGTCCCAGGGAGTACATGTATTGAGGTATGGTTGAAAGAGCTGACCTGGAGATGAGGCTGAGTTGACAGCCGGTGTCATACTGGATTCCTATCTTCGTCCCGCCCAGGTTCAAGGTTTCGACCAAGGGAACAGACTGGTTGGCGCTGACCTTGGGGATCGTGACAAAGTGGGCCTCGTTGCTGTGCATGCAAGTCCTTTTGTTCACAGGGACTCCATGCTGCAAGCATCCCTTGGTACACACTCTAGAGGTGCCGTTCCCGAGAGTAAGCTTGCACTTATAACTATTGCCGTGAGCCTGAGTGCAGGTGAAACAGAGGTTATTGTCAGAGATCAACTTGAGGATCTCAGGTGAGCTCAGTCTACCAGATCCACAGTATTTGCTGAGGGAAAAGTGATTGGCTTCAAACCCCATTATTGTACACATGGCGCAGGGTTTAGGAGGACGGAATCTCTGTGGGTCAGAAGAATTCAGAGGCTGAGGTTTAGGTTTAGAGGTTTCCTGTCTTACCACTTCGACCCCTATGTTTGAGAGAGCAAGGTCGAGGTCATAGAGATAAGGAGTGGATCGATAATTCTTCTCCAATTCGTCCACAAACTGGGCTAGGAATAAGAACGTGGCTGGAGGTCGGACATTGTCCAGACACTGTTTGCGGAATTTGGAGAACTGATCGTTGAAAGATGGTCTCACTTCCATGGGCAGGCTCTTCATAATATTCTGCACCAGAGACTGGGTGAGGGCAACGCTGTGAAAATTCTCCTTGTTGTGGAAGTTCTCTATGATGTTCAGGTTGGCCTGCAGGGTCTTGATCTTAGGGGAGAGGTCTTCGGCGATCTCCTGGACTGACTTGTAGCAAGGGAGGAGGTTGAATATATGGTTGACTTCTCTCCCGAAGATATAAATACTTCCGAATTCTTCAATTAACTTGGTCTTGAACGTAGGCCAGTCAATGATGTTGTTGAAGGGTCCTCGTTTGGCAAGTGGGATGGCTTGGAGGGTGAGAGCAACTTTAACCACGTCTTCCGCTCGGGTCAAGTTAAACCCGTTCAGGATGTTCAACAACCAGGGGTAGAAATCTGAGTTCATGTTAATAGTAAAACACCTCTACACAAATAAGACAACTGATATATCTATCCAGTAACTTTAGGACATAAACAATATTATTCTCAATATCTAAACTAAACTAATTTAAATCATTAAAAGACTGTTTTTTGATTAAGGTGTGAAGTAGAAATGGCTACAGTAGTCATAGGAGGAACTTATGATGGACAATTTTTTCAAAGCTCAGAGGTCATAATTAACATAAAAACTTTTAAGATGCAAAATGGGTTTACCATGTTTCATTCTTTGAATTTATGAGAATGATAAATCTTGAAATAGAATTGATTGCTCCAATTCATCAATTGCTGGCAAGTGTTTAGGTGATGTTAACGTTTTCATTTTTTAGAAAAACGTTCGTTTGGTTATGAAAACGACGACAAAAAATCGAAAACAAAACGATCGTTTTTCAAAACGCTCGTTTTTATAAAATTCGTCATTTTGTTAACGATCATTAATGACGACCCTTCATTAACGATCATTAACAACGAATCTTTGTTAATGACAACCCTTTGTTTACGATCGTTAATGACAACCCTGTATTAACGATCGTTAACGACGACCCTTCGTTAACGATCTTTAACGACAACCCTTCATTAACGATCGTTAACGACGACCCCTTCGTTAACGATCGTTAACGATGACTCCTTCGTTAACAATCGTTAATGAAGAGAGGAAACCGACCTGAAGGGCATCTGTACTTATCATTGAGTAGTTTTTAAGAAAATATCAAGGAGTTTTAACTCCCCCACAACTGATAAACTTCATGTAAGACGACATTCAATAAAGTTGCATGTAATTTTTTTCCAAAAACGACCGTTTTGATAAAATTCGTCGTTTCGTTAACGATCGTTAACGACAACCTTTCATTAATGATCTGTAACGACGACCCTTGGTTAACGATTGTTAACGACAACCCTTCATTAACGATCGTTACGACGACCCTTCGTTAACTATTGTTAACATTATTGTCAACAACCCTAGGTGTATGGTAGAGATTTCCAAGAATGTTTACATAATATACCATCCCTACCAAGAAACTTTTACCTTGGAGGATCTGTTGCATTTGAGGTATTTAAGCTGTGAATTACTAATCTATATATAAATTTGGCTTGTCTGTCTGTCTGTTTGTCTGTTTGTCTGTTTGTTTGTTTGTATCCAATAAACGTCAAAACGGCTGAACCGATCGGGCCCAAATTTTTTGTGGGACATCTAGGGACTCCAGGGAAGGTTTATGAAAAATCAAAATTTCAAATATTTGTCTCCATCAAAATTCGATCTTCATTAAATTTTTGAAAATTTTGAAAATCCACGAAATTTTTTGTGAAAATCCGCGAATTATTTTTGTTTTGTTTTACGATGTACACAAAGAGAACATGTTCACAATTAATTTAGGAGATGGGCGCGAAGCGCCCTCTAAGGCTAGAAAGAAGGGCGCGAAGCGCCTTGAATTTCTATTTACAATATATTCACTATAAAGGATAAACCACAAAGGATGAGACTGTAAGGACAACCTAAACTATATGATTCCAATTTTCCACCATTCACATCTTTTTTGAAAAATTCTATTACCAAACTAGAGGTTTTTTTTTAAAATTAGCAGAAGAGTTTATTAATGAACGGCAAAATTTGTGTTTTTTAAATATTAAAAAAACAGATAAGCTGTTTTGAAAAAAAAAATGTTTTATAAAATAATGGATGCTTTCGCCATTTTTATGAAAAAATTGTTGAAACTTTCAAAAATTAAAAATATTTTTTTATATTTTTGATGTCTCAACTGCCCTCTTCTGATTTTTTCCTTTCTTTTTTAATTGAATTATAGTTACATTTAATGTTTTTATATTCTTTGGTATTTTTAACTGATTTCTTTACATTTTTCCTGCTTGCACAGTAAGCAATTTCTAAATATCTGCTATTTTTCAGCTTAGAAACAAAGGTTTTACAAACAACTATAATAAAAGTCAGAACCTGCCCAGCCCCACCTGGAGCTGCATATCAAAGAGCAAAACAGAATCTTTTATTTGTACTGTTTTTCTGATTTTGAAATTTTAGGAAAACTTATCTGGACTTACACATTTTGTCTGAGATGAAGTTTCCATTTCCTCTCTTGAGTTGTCCTGACCCAGCTAGCCAAATTGCGCAAAAAGCGCGCAATTTAAACGTCACTTTTGGCATTTT